TGTACAATGATAAATGAGAGCTGTTGTAGCTTTGTGGAGCATACAGGGCAATTCTCACAGACGTGCAAGAAATATGGAATCATGCAAAAATTTTCCATGAGGTTGCAAGTAGTGCTGGAACATCTTGGTCGGACAACTTGTTGAGGAGCTGGGGAATCACAGGATAGTTGCAGTCAATTGTTCAAACAGGGTTGTTAATGATGAGTATATTTTGCTGTATGATGCTTATTGTGCCATGTTTGCTAGGTTGTATGAGAAACATGATTCAAAAAATGGTGAATCAGGTAATGATGATAGAAAAACTAAAAGGGGGAGATGTGGAGCAGGGCCTCAGCGAGATCAACCTTGATAATCTGGCCCTGTGCCCCTGATTGAGAAAGCAACAACTAAGGGGACATCCCTCGACCCAAAAAAGGAAGGTACCCGGCTCATGTAGGACGTGTGAACAGTAGATTTCACCAACCAAGTTATGAAGAAAGCCGCGTGCAACTAAGACAGTACGCTATCGGAATGCTTCTGATAGCGCGTGAACAACAGCAAGTAGTATATAAGGGTAACTTTGTAAATAATAAAGGTCATTGTCCAGCACCCCACCAGAGTCTGTGCCTTTCATCTCCACAGTGGCCACCTCTGGACTAGTGTGTCTGGCTGTGGGGATCTCTGTTCTGGAGAAGTGGGATGGAACCAGAGAGGGTCCAAAGTAGATCTGCCAGGGGTCTGAAGCCTCTGTGGAGAGGCTGAGGGACCTAGGCCTTTGTTACTCTTCACGTTAGCAAAGAGGTAACAGAAGCATTGTACAAGGGATATTGGTCTAGGGTGTCTCCTCAGGAGGTCTGGACAGGTAGGAAAAGCGGTTCCTTGAGGTCTGACACTGTATGGAAAACCTTCCTCCTCACCTCCCCTACCTCACCATTTCTGTCATTGGCCTCCTGGGACTTACATCAGTCTTCTCTGCATCAGACTTCTCCACTGAAGTCTGCAACTGGATGTTACAGCTTCATTGCATCATCTCCCACCTGCTGTCCTTCGAGAAATGGCTGCACACGGGCACAGAAGAATTTTTCCTCTTTGAAAGCAAAGAAAATTAAAGCATGATCAGCTTTCACAAATAACAAAACACCCTCTGTGACCATATGCTAAGTACAAGCTGCCTCTTGTGAGGTCACCTTTCTTCAAGGGTTAATCTTATGAGAAATTTTTTAGTCAGGTAAATCAAAAAAATAGATATTAACACAATGAAAGACCTGGCTAAGGAGACAATTAGTCCTGTGAAAGACAGGAAAGCTTTTAACTCCCTGGAGCTCGAAAGAGCAGCAGCTGGCAAGCTGAGTGGAATCTGAAGGAACAAACCATAGAATCGTAGAATATCTCATAGGGTTGCAGAGTGTTTTATTGCAAATGAAACTTGTCATGCTTCACTTTTCTTTGCTTGTCAATAGGAAATCGAATCTGTGCGTCTCTGCAGTTGTCTAAGGAAAGCCGGCGGGAGTTGGTACAAAGGAGCTGTAACGTCCAGCTGCAGACGGCAGTGGAGATTGTCGTCAGTATCCTCAGCCCTGGGCTCGATCATTGCAGGGTCTTAGTCCACCTCAAGGTCAGGACTCAATGGCTGTTATGAGGTTACTATTGGCTCATCCTTCCAGTCTGTCAATGTCCCTTGTGTGGCAAGCTGGCCTCTAGTGCAGTGTCTTCTTTCCTCAACTTCAAGTCTTCTACAAATGCTATGAAAAAGCACTCTCTCATCTCCTCTGGGTCATTAAAAACACATTGAACAGGGTGGGTTGCAGGACAGAGTCTTGCCGTTCCCTGCTAGCTACAGGTCCCCAGGCTGAGTGCCAAATATTGACCATGTCTCTCCATGCCCACACATCCAGTTGATTTTTCATACCACTACGTATCCACTCACACAGACCATAAAATCCTGTCCTGGACACAAGAATGTTGTGGCAGATGACACTGAAATCCTTGCTGACTTCCAGTTAGCAGCTGCCCCCCATGTCCACACCACAAAGCAAAGAGGATGGCCAGGCACAATCTCCTCTGAGTAAACCCAGTCACCTTCTCTTTCTGAGACCCAGAAATCACAGAATCACAGAATCACAAAATGGTAGGTGTTGGAAGGGACCTCTGTGGGTCATCTAGTCCAACCCTCCTGCTGA